GACTCGTTATTCAGTGCAGACTCCATAAATCTGTGCTGTCGTTCGTGTATGTTTAGGAATATTTTCTACATTTTCCCAAAGTGTACAGCAGACTATTCCCAACACTGGTGTGATATTAGCAATAATTAAGCTCCATCATTTTCTATCACTCGCTCATTGCAGGCCTGGTGTGAAGCACTGATGTAAGACACTGTTCAAGAATGTATTTTGCATAAATCAATCCGGATCAAGACACAGTGAGGCATCTTCAATCGCCATCTCTTAGTCAGGGTTAAAAAAGTAAAACTGTGATTGAAATGCAAATTGCAGTTAATATTATCTGTTGGTAAAGAAGAAAGAAGTAGCATTTTTCATTGTATCATTATATATATATATATATATATATATATATATATATATATATATATATATATATATATATATATGTGTGTGTGTGTGTGTGTGTGTGTGTGTGTGTGTGTGTGTGTAGTTTTTTATGCTTTTATGGAAAGTGGTCATTAAGTGCACGCTAGCCTCAAAAGTTCTGTCTGTTGAGCTCTTAAAGTAGCTCAGCTATTACACTCTGCTGTTTTAACCACCAAACTCTACTGTGTTAACTGTCCAACTCCACACTGCTTCAACTATCTCTCTGTCTAACCATAGAGCTTTAACTATCTAACCCGAGCGGGTTTACTTTCGTGCTCGCTTGGTAGGAGGTCCTTCATTCGCGACATTTTATTACCTTAACAGTTCTTCCTAAAGACAGCATGCATTAGATTACATGTTAAAGGTTTGGAGTTGTGTTTGGAGAAGCTGGAAGAAGTTTACAGAATAAAGAGGCAAGAAAATCTAATCGGATCTGGTTGGAGTTTTTCAGATTTTAGGAATTTGTCTGCAGCTAGTATATCATTATCAATACTCTTATTTTATAAATGAAATAAATGATATAAATGTACTGACAAACGTTGTCTTACCACGATGGCACTTCTCTTTAGCCTGCGTGATTATATTTAAAATAATCCTCAGTAAAATTGGTAAATGTTCCATGAAATATAGTGAAAATAAATAACATTTTTACAGCCTGGCAGATAGTAATGTGAAGTATTACAGCGTTCAGGGCTTCTTGAGGTGTTATTTTATTGACACTGTATCATATTAGGCCACATTAACTAAATCAGGTATTTGAAATCAGGTTTGAATCAGGTATTTATTTTTTGCTCTTCAGAAATACAAGCTAAAAATCACATTAATGACTTTTTAATATAACAACAGAGAATCTGCTTATATTTTAAGAATATAAACAAGTTTACACGCCTCGATATTAACAAGTATGTAATTATTATTCATAGATCTGATTTTAAAAGCCAAAGTTTTTGAGAGCAGAACGTTAAAGATGCAAAGTGATGTGAGTGTGTTTAAATAAATGACCTCGCTGGCGTTTCTGCTGTGTCTCCATCCCTTCCTTCAACTGACCAACTCGATCGTATAATTGTCCCTTTAATCCGTTGACATTATCGCTCAGACAAACAGACTGCTATCGATCTCTGCATTAGGTGATCAAACGAGCCGAGCAGGAGGACCAGGTGAGGGTCCAGCTGCGAGGAAAAGCGCTTTTGACGCTCAAACCTGCAGCCCAGCTCATTATAAGTTAGAGCCGTTGGACAGAAACAGGTACATTAGCCTGAAGTGATCAGCAGATGAACGAGACGCGGCTCGCATTTAACGTTTCGCTTAAAGTGAACTATAAACTTTGTTTATTCGCGTTCTCAGCGGAGCGGAGCTGATTCTGCAGCCTAGACGATAAGATGATGTAAGAAAGATGGAGTTTACTTGCCTTTTAGATACGAGCCAGATTGAGGAACATCGCTGGTGTCCCGGTGTCCACTTTGCCCCTTCACTCTCTCTCTCTCTTACTCTCTCTCTCTCTCTTTCTCTCTTTCCCAGTGTCCACTTTCCCCTTCTCTTTCTCTCTCTCCTACTGTCCACTTTTCCCCCTCTCGTCTCTCTCTTGCTGTTTTGCACGCTTTGCCTTGTGCTCCCATTCGCTGTCCCTCTCCCTCTCTCCCCTCTCTCGCTCTCGCTCTCTCTCCCCAGCCCTGTGGAGGAAAATCTTGATGATACACTTACAGAAGTTTCTCTTTGTCTCCTTTAATCGTATTCGTCTCACCTCTTTTTTCGCGCGCAGAGCAGAGCAGAGCAGAGGAGAGCCAGCGCCGAGCTCAGAGGAGATGAGCACACCTTCAGTGTCCGAGAGCAGCTGCTGGTCAGCGCGTTCAGCTTTCATTTCTAACCTCAACTTTCGGCTTGGACGGTTTGGAAGCGCAGTTTGTGCGCGTCGAAGTATTTATGCGAGTCCTTCACGACTGAACATGCTCTAAATGTGCGATACAAATCAGTCACTGTTCAGTTTTCTGTTCTTTTTATTAACCATTTATTTTCAAAAATCACTGCTTCCAACTTTAAAGTGGCAAAAAAGTCCTGAAACATTCACACACCATCCATAAACTTCACCACGAGATGTGGAAATGGCAAAAATAGAAATAAACGAACAGATAAATACAAATCATGATAAATAAATAAATACAGTCATCATGAAATGCAAAATATTTTTTTAAATATCATCTCACAAAAGACATGATAACAATAAATTATGCTCTTCCATTTGCCTGTAATTGTCTACTGTACGCTAGATGGCAGCCCCATCCAGACATTATAAGCCTGTAAAGCGCAGGCTTCGCTATTCATGCACATAAAGCCGCTCTGCTGCCCGTTACAACCGGCAACTTCCGCCGTTACCGAATCACTACGACCACACAGACGGAGCACAGCACCCTGAAATCACGACCTTAAAACGTTAGAGCGTCACGTTTGGCCCTTTATGTCTCACCCATCGCTTTATTTTCTCTATCTAGACCTGCCTGCGCCGTTATACCGCTCTCTCTGTATCTCTCGCTCCCCTCGCGCATCCTCTCGCGCTCTCCCGCCGTGCTCTGCCGGGCTCTCTGAGAGCCGCCGCGCCGTGAACCGCGCGGATTAGCTCGGTTATAACGGCTGGAGAGCTTCGGGACACAGAGAGGAGGCGAGGGAGGCGGTGAGCAGCGGTGGTCAAACCTGCGGAGGAGCGGTCAGTCTGCGGGTGTGTTTAGCGTTTTCGCGTTAAAACCCGCAGCTCGGGAATAAGAACAAAAGCGGTTCCCACCAAAAAAAAAAAACTTTTAAGGGACTCGTCTATGCTTTCAGTTCCTATTTTTTGTTTTGTGTTGTTTTGTTTTTTTTTCTGCCCCTCATTCTAATCGGGGGTTTCTTCCTCTTTTTTCTTTTTTTTCAACCACAATAGACGGTCCATTCTAATCAGGTTTCAAAGTAAATAGCAGCGCGGGGAGAGCGCAATGTAAATCGTGCTTGTCAGAAACACCCCCCACCACCATCTAACCCCCCCTCTTCAGCACCCCCCTCCTCCCCCCAACCTCCAGCCCTCCCTCTTCAGTCGTAGGTAGCAAGGAACGAGGACTCTAACCAATGGAGTGAAGGAGGCTTGGCTAACCTTAGCCTCCTATTTTCTGCCCCCCCCAACCCGTCCACCCCCTCCGTGCAGGGTTCTGACCAGTCAGTCGCCTTTGATTATCAGTCGCCAGCAGCCCCTCTCTTGGCTCCTTGACACGAGCACCATATAAGGCGCAGCGATCTCCATAGAAACGTGTCAGTTTCAATAGTAGTGTCAAAGTTCACTATATACAGACATTCGCGCGGATCTCCGTTTCGGAAACATTGCTCCGCCGCTCCTCCCGTCCAAACGCGTTCATTTTTTTCGGGGGCTTCTTCTTTTTCTTTTTCTTCTCCTTCTTCTTCTCCTTCTTATGCTTTCGTGCATATTCTATTAGTTGTGTTGTGTTGTTTTCTCTCTCTCTCTCCCTCTCTCGCTCCCTCTGTTTCTCTCTCGCTCGCTCGCTCGCTCGCTCTCTCTCTCTCCCTCTCGCTCTTTATCCTCGCTCCGTTCCGACTGGAAGAGGTGAAACTGCATAGGCACTCGGGCGACGTTGTTGTTGGTGTGTGTGTGAGTGTGTGCGAGTGTGTGTGTGCGTGCGTGTGTTTTTTTGGGGTCTCTCTCTCTTTTTTTCTTTCTTTTTTTTCTTTTTTTTGGCTGGACCAGATGAGCTTTATTCATGAACATAGATAGAGAATTCCGCTCTTCGGCGTTTCCTTCTCTCCAGCAGCCGCGAAGACGGAGAAAGGAGCAGGCGAGGAAAAAAAGACGGGAATTTATCTCGCGCCGCACTTTGGATCGCGGATTCGCCGGAGAGAGCTTTGCTTTTCGCCTCGACGTCCACGCCAAGCGCACGGACTGAGGTGTTTTGCGCAAGACAAGAGACGAATTCATCAAAAAGCAACAACAACAAAAACAAGAAAAACTGTTTTTCGTCACGTTGTTTTGGGTTTTTTTTTCTGGGACTCGCTTTCTCCAAACGACCGGGGCTCCCGAATGGCTGACTGCAATTTACCGTGGAACTGGCCTCCCGACAGCTGCATATCCTGATCGGGCTTTGCCTTCTTCCCCATCCAGCTCCGGTTCATTCTTTTTTTCCTCTTCTTCTTCTCCTGATTTTTGAATGCATCGATCGTTTTAGGCATCTACTTTTTTCCCCCTTTTTCTCTTTTCCTCCTTTGCTATGAGATTGACCGCTCCGGCTTGACTCCGTTCGTCCGAGCTCCCTCTGTCTGCCTCTCTCTCTCTCTCTCTCCTTCGCTCTCTCTCTCTCTCCCTCCCTCCCCCCACCCCAGAGCCCCCCGCTTTCCCCCTGTCTTCCCAAGCTCCGAGAACCGAGCGAGCCGTGTTCGCTTGAAAGCACTTTTTTTCCTGGGCCCGAGATATGGCAATGGTAGTTAGCGTCTGGCGCGATCCGCAGGACGACGTGGCCGGTGGAGCCCCTAGCGGGCCCAACCCGGCGGCCCAGCCGGCGAGGGAGCAGCAGCAGGCGGCGTCAGCAGCGCCGCACACCCCGCAGACCCCCAGCCAGCCGGGACCGCCGTCCACCCCGGGCACGGCCGGAGACAAGGGCAGCCAGAACTCAGCGCAGAGCCAGCAGCACATCGAGTGCGTGGTGTGCGGGGACAAATCGAGCGGCAAGCACTACGGCCAGTTCACCTGCGAGGGCTGCAAAAGTTTCTTCAAGAGGAGCGTGCGCAGGAACTTAACGTACACATGCCGTGCCAACAGGAACTGTCCTATTGACCAGCACCATCGCAATCAGTGCCAATACTGTCGGCTTAAGAAGTGTTTAAAAGTGGGCATGCGGCGGGAAGGTGAATATATGTTGCTTCTTTTTCTTCTTCTTCTTCCTCTTTTTCTTTTTATTTTTCCCCACATTCACTGCACACACACCACTGCTAGATTCCCCAGACCGTCTTGCAGAGCCGTGTTATGTAAAGGTCGCGCTCTGCTCACGCATACACAGCGTGTGTACGTTTTCTTCTTCGGCTGCCTGCTAGACAAGAGTGTGTGAAGGCTAAGACGAGCACGCTACACGCAGCAAGCGTTTTGTTTACAAGCTTTGATAGCATGGAGCTTAGCCCACAGGCTACGGTGCATCCATTTCAACTCGCTCAATTGCGCGAGATGCAAGAGCCGTGCATGAACTCGAGGGATGTGTACATATATAGTCTGTTGCCTGGTTTAGTCTTAACGTCCACCACGTCTCATTTTGTGCACGAGAACGGTTTGCCTTAGTGAAGGGAAGTTGAGTGTGTATTTGGCTTAGTGGTCGTAGCCCAGTGTGTGTGTGTGAGAGAGAGAGAGAGAGTGTGTGTGTGTGTGTTTAGAGGCCTGTTTCAACCTCAAAGCCATGTGAACAATGGCGGTACCAACTTATGTGCTGCACTTCTATCAACAAAGTATAGCACAGCTGTATTTTGCCCAGAATTACTTTCTCAGGCTATTGTTGAATTTTACGAACCGCATCTGTATTTATTTGAGCTGGAGAGCGCAGCCTTTGTCCTCGATCTACATCTAAGCTAGCCCACTTAGCCTTTCGACCTATATAACAAATCACGTGCGTTCACTATTCTGGTAAAATATAGATTATTTTTGCCTGCAAAGTGAATGTCAGTAGGCTTGCTATGCTGAGTGTGGAGATGCTGTACAAAGTAGTGTAAAGTAAAGGAGTGCAGGGATACGGACACACCGGCCACGAGCTACCTATTTAAATGCTTATCGTAGAAATATTCACTTAAATATCAGTGTGACGCTAAGTTCTGGACTGAGTATCCGCGTCTAGCTGTTGTCATAAAGTGCATAAACGTAAATGTAACAAATGTAAACACGAACACTTCACAGAGGCTGTGACCTTATAAATGCCTCACAGAGATATCACGCATTAAAAAGAAGCACACGCTTTTTTTTCTTTTTTTCTAAGTAATATTGTACACAGACTAGCGTTTTCCACAGATTATGCAGACATAAGCCCCCTTTTTATTTCTTCCACATAAATGATTGTTTCTCAGTTCTGGATGCACATTTCCTCTCCCTCTCTCTCTTTTCGTCAGCGGTTCAGCGAGGAAGGATGCCCCCGACCCAGCCGAACCCCGGCCAGTACGCGCTCACCAACGGCGACCCCCTGAACGGCCACTGCTACCTCTCGGGATACATCTCGCTGCTGCTGCGGGCCGAGCCCTACCCCACGTCCCGCTACGGCAGCCAGTGCATGCAGCCCAACAACATCATGGGCATCGAGAACATCTGCGAGTTGGCCGCGCGCCTGCTCTTCAGCGCCGTGGAGTGGGCCAGGAACATCCCTTTCTTCCCCGACCTGCAGATCACCGACCAGGTGTCCCTGCTCAGACTCACGTGGAGCGAGCTGTTCGTGCTGAACGCGGCGCAGTGCTCCATGCCGCTGCACGTGGCGCCGCTACTCGCCGCCGCCGGCCTGCACGCGTCGCCCATGTCCGCGGACCGCGTCGTGGCCTTCATGGACCACATCCGGATCTTCCAGGAGCAGGTGGAGAAGCTCAAGGCGCTGCACGTCGACTCGGCGGAGTACAGCTGCATGAAGGCCATCGTGCTCTTCACTTCGGGTGAGTCAGGGGGCTCTCGTGTGTGTGTGTCTGAGTGTGTGTACGGATGTGAGTGTGCTCGAGGCCGCGGGCGACCGGGGAGCTCGAGCTCGAGCTGGTGTTGGTGTTTTGTGGACTTAAAGTGATGCTGGTCGTGCAAATAGTGTATTGTTTTTTTAATATCACAGCATACACACAGAAGGTATTTTGCAGGCTAATTAAATCCAGGCTCTTATTATATGCAAACGCTGTCTTTATTTAAAAATAGACCCCTGAAAATCGTCGTGGGCGTAATGAGCATATTTAAAAAAAAACATAGGCCTATACCTTATTGTAATTTTTGACAATAGGCTAATAAATAAAGAAATAAAGGAATTAAGGAATGCACATTTTGACGTGTGTGCATTTTAAAATACATACTATAATATAGGTCTTGGAGAAAATTCGGGCACGTTTTGAAGAAAAGCGTGTACACAGATATTTCTCTGTGCTTTTCAAAGAGCGATTGCTTATGAAGGACTTGGGGTCAGTGCTAAATTATCATGCCACAGACAACATGGTGGCGAATTGTTTACGCCCTCGAGTTCATTTGAAAAATAGAAATTGTAGGCCCAAATGAACAGCCTGGCTGAACGCGGATGGACATGTTATAGACTGTGTCGTCAATAGTCCTGAGACTGTGCTAAATGTATGCCCATTTTACACAAGCTGTGGTAATTTTACCAATTAATCACACTTCATTTTTATGTAGGTACATATCATAACATAATTTATATTAAAAAGCAAAAATATATTCTTTTTACACAATAGCGCTTTTAATGGCGAATTGGCCCAACATCATGCTTAAGCCGGGAGTGTTTTGTGTTTTTAAAATGGAAAAACAACAACAATAATAATAATTTGACTAAAAGTGTCCCTATTAGTCGAAATGATTATAGATTATATACACTGTACAATTGTAGGGTATCATTTTGGTCGTGGACCGTCCTAGTTTATAAATAAAGAAGTAATTACAGCAGATAATGATGAAGACCCCAGTAAGCAGCTCGAGTGGTTTGTTGTAGCCTTCACAAAATGGGCTGATTGGTGGCAGCAAAGGAAATATTTCATCGCGTGCAGTTCCTCTCGCTGTGGCTTACTGCACTGCCATGTGGAGGAGCTGACATTAAAAAAGATGCTCGTCGCCAAGTTTATTTGTAGTGTTATCATGCTTTTTCATTAAAAATGGTATTAAATGCGCTAAGCTTTAGAGTTTGAGGTAATAGGCCGCAGTCTTTGGGGCATTGTATGACCTGGCATGGCTTCCAGAAGCATGCGGTGTTGCTAGTGAAAAGTGCTGAAAAGGAAGTGTTTATTTTCTTTTCATTTTCGCTCATTTGCCTGCTGATAGCTCTTTTTAAAAACGTTTTCTCGCGTTTGGCATTAAATAATAATGCTACTGTTCATTCTCTCTAGCAATGACGTCAGCCTCGAGATGACCCCTAGTTATCAACCTTATTTACCACTCATTTGCTCTTAATGGAGGTCCAGGAGTCCTGCAAGTAAATAGATAACAATAAAATGTATCTAGTTAGATCACATCTGTAGATTAGTTCATGTGCATTTGGACTGGAAACTAGTTCAACATAACGACTCAGGGCTACATCTGAGCTTTCTGAGAGCCTTATGGTCAGTGGAGGTAGCTACACAGGCCTGAACTGTCCTGAATTTCGAGCAGACTGTGTTCTGATTTTTAAAATAAACATTTTTTTTATTTTACAATCGCGGTTCATCACAAAATGGTGACCCAACGGTTTTGCCTGGATCCTCCAATAGGCCTGGGTGTGTTTGCTGTCTTATTAAGTTGAAACCATAAATTATTAACAAACGTCTTCTAACGTCCACTTACTTCCCTGCATTAATTGCACACTGAAGTATTCTTTTCCTCACAAGCCTGCTATTTGCACATGCAGCCCGAGCCACAGAGCATAAGGTCACATCACTGGGAGATTTCAGCCTGGACTTCACAGTTCAGAAGTGCAGGAGGTCATTGTACTGAACCGAAGTGCGTTACAGTCCAGTGCAATTAGGATCAATCTCAGTAGGACTGTAGGTGGGATGCCACGCCCTAATACTTCACAAATTATGATATTTTAATACAAATTAAGAGCAGTGTAAAATATATTTTTTGTTCCTCCGCCATGTATTAATGCTGAACGCTTATTGGAGCTGATATATTGTTTACGCTGTGTTAGGCTTCTCTATAGGACTATAGGACTATAAGCTCGGTTATATAGCGATTATAACGAAAATCATTTATTACAATTAAATTGAGAGCAGATACAATATAAGGCTAAGTAATTGAGGCGAATCCCTTTGGTGTATTACAGTATTTAGACACCGGAAATATGCATTTTCCTCCCGTGTAATGTTGATTTAGCCCTTTTCCTAAATTTGGGCGACTGTCTTCTCGGCTAAAGCTTTGGTCATAAATTTGATTGCTTGCGCGGCCCTGCCTCTGGTAGGAAGAAGTGACTCGAAAGCATATGGAAAGTAATTAGGTCATAATTCAGTTATTACCATATTCAACCATTTTTGCAAACGTGCAGCTGCATGTTTCTACGTTTTAGCCCAAACATGGCCGCCATGTCCATCCTCGCCACTCAGACAGCGGGTCATTAAAAAAAAAGAGCCACACACGGGCTGAAGATGCGGGCTGGGTTGTTGGGTCTGATTTACGAGCGCGCGTGTGGTATCTCCCGTGCCACACGGGGGGAATCCGTCGCGTCGCTCTTTGAGGGATTGTTTATTTAGAATGACGGAGCTCCTCGTGCTCTGCGTGATACATGGTGTTTGCGTTGGTGTGCGTGTTCACCTCAGCCTTGCAGCGTCCGTGCCGAACGCTAACCTGCTCTTCTTTTTCTTCCTCTTGTTTGTTTGTCGCTGTTTTGTCGGACCAGACGCTTGTGGCCTGTCGGACGCGGCGCACATCGAGAGTCTACAGGAGAAGTCCCAGTGCGCTCTGGAGGAGTACGTGAGGAGCCAGTACCCCAACCAGCCCAGCCGCTTTGGCAAGCTCCTCCTGCGGCTGCCTTCTCTCCGCACCGTCTCCTCGTCGGTAATTGAACAGCTGTTCTTCGTTCGCTTGGTAGGTAAAACTCCCATTGAAACCCTCATCAGGGATATGTTATTATCCGGGAGCAGCTTCAACTGGCCCTACATGTCCATTCAATGATCCCAATGAGCGAGTAAAACAAAAAGAGAGAGAGAGACGTAAAGGACCAAAAAACTCTACAGCCCTCTTTCAAGAAGACTATATATAGGACCTGCTTTCTGATCACCTTGGAAGACATTTTCTCTCTACTGTTTTTTTTTCTTCTGTTGTCTTCTCGGACCGAGATGGAATACGTAATGTATAAAGATTAAAGAACTGGACTTTACTCCCTTGTAAATCCATCGCCATCACCAAGAACACGCTCCATTTTGTAAAATACTAGTCTTTATTTTCCTTTTTTTTTGTAAAAAAGAACAAAAAACCCACAAAAACAAAATACGTACAGATAAATTGAAGAACATCATATGCGCAGTAAAAAATGAATCAAGACTTAGCAGGAAAGTAATGTTTCCAAGCAATTATAAGAAATGTCCTGTGTCTATGTATCTCTGTTTTGTATTTTTTTCTGGTTCTAAACCAGTTTTTTTCTGTGATTCTATACTAATGATTTTTGATATAACCTTTTGCTTCTTATAATGAGTGCGATATATGTTGTTGAAGCTATGTTCTCCAAGAATTAAAATTGAAGTGAGAATTTAAAACGTTAAAAAAAAAATAAAGAAAATTTTAGACAAATAAGAAACAGTCTAATCGCAATGACAATATCACTGATGGTTGAACTTCCCCCTTCTTCCTCCCAATTGATGCTATGGACATGCAACTGCGGCAAAAAAAGAAAGAAAGAAAGAATGAAAGAAAAAAGAGAGAAAGAAACAAAGAAAGAAAGAAAGAAAGAAAAAACTGACCTCATGGACATTTTAAGGAGAGGACACCGGTGAAACCTTTTCTTTTCTTGGTTGTGTGTGTGAGTGCGTGTGTTGAGTCAATCATCAGTCAAAGAGGAAAGACATGAGAAATCAAAAGCACTTTTAATATATCATTTTCAAATACATTTTGTTTGTTTCGTCTTGATATTTTCGTTGTTTCTTTTGTTTGTTTTGTTTTTGTTTTTTGTTTTTTTTTTTAATTGGTTGTTGCTTCCATTTTGCTCAACCCATGATATGCTTGTGCAGAAGGGTCGCTTGATGAAGTTGTGTGATGGTGACTATACTATTAAAAAAGAAATAGGCAACTATGTCTCACTCTCAGCACATTTTATATGCTTCATATTGTCCAGATGGTCTGATGTTGGAGGATTTTTTAATTATTATAATAATGCATTTTGGGTTTTTTCCACTTTAAGCTATTTTACTAATGAATAAACCACACACATGTGCCTAATTACACCACACCACAGCAGTTCACAGCAGTTCATATATATATATATATATATATATATATATATATATATATATATATATATAGATAGATAGATAGATAGATAGATAGATAGATGGATAGATATATTGATTGATTCAAACATTGCGACTGCCTCAACTTTGTAATAAGAATTTTGCCTGTATTTTAAGACACGAATGGCACGTTTGTCACCTGTGCAGAGCACTTTCTATCTGTGGTCCATATCCTATTCTGCACAGACGTTTTCGTCTGTTTCTTAGCTGTATATTAGCTGGAGACACCGCAGAATACGATTTGTGTGACGTTGCTAGCGACTGCTTCAAAGATCTATGCCTACTTCAGCACATTAATGTTTAATATTTTTCCCAGGCTGGATTGAAAGGCTTGCTCAAGGAGAGGGAGAGAGAGATAGAGACATAGAGAGAGAGGGGGAAGTAAAGGCCTTGGGTAGAAATAAAGAGACGAAGCCTGTCACTACAGATGAGAATGAGAAAAACCCCCCCCTCTAAAAAAAACCACCCACTAATGTTATTTTGCTGTGGGGCTACGAGTGTTTCACAGCAGCAGTTATGCGTGATCAATCTGGGAAATGTACACTGCTGCATGGAAGGCGCTCGATAGCAACACTAAATGTGATGTATTGTACGAAGACAGTGAGAAATTCGTGTTCGGCCTCAAACCATTGGGCACGACTATGGCGAGGAAAAACCTGCTTGTTTTCTTGCTGCGATTGTCCCCCTCCTCGTATTCCCACATCTGCACTCCAGCCTCTCATGTTCTGGGGGTGGAAATGATGCGTGTCTTTTTCTTTTTCTTTTTCTTTTTCTCTTGCAGGGACCGATTATACTGCAGTCTGCGTTCGGTATTAGTGAATTTGTCAAATGTGGCTTTGGGAAAGGGCGAACTTTTGGAAACTGGGCTGCTCTCGTGTTGCGCTCTGCTCCAAGAGAGGTCGACCTAAGCAAAAGAATGCTATGTGTTTTTTGGCCATGTCCTCATTATGAAGCCAGACGTGTTTCCGTGTAAAAAAAAAGGAAAAAAAAATGGGGGAAAAAAAACATGCCAAGCAAAGCTGACGTTGTCATTTTTTGTGCATATCATCGATCGCTTATAAGCCTGAGTTGGTGGGGCGTGGAGTTCAAGAGCAAGAGAGCAAGAGGACTGTCAAATGCCACCCAAACTTTGGGTTTGATTATATTTTCGTGCAGTGGGCACAAAATACGGGCAATGATGGATCTCATCACAACATGTATTTCATTTTGTTGGAAGAGCTCGGTGCTTTTGGCCGATGGGGATGAGAGTAGACGGTGCATCACGCTGCTTCTGTTTATTTTTTCGTCACAGCCTAATTATACGCATTAGACAAACAGAATATTACTAAAACAAGCCTCGCTCATCATGAAAGCTATTCTAACCCGTTTGAAGAGACTTTTTTAAAAACAGCCTGGATTCAGTGAAAGAGTGAAACAGTCGCAGGACCACGTAGAACACAGACGTTTTTGATTGATTACCCCAAAGGACCCGAGACAATGGCTCTTTGACTGCTCTTGTTTTTTTTTTTCTCAATGTTTCTCAAGTTGAGGGTTTTTGAATTGAAAATAGTCGCTTAGTCGCTATCAGGAGCGAGAGTCGAAACACCCAAGGGGATTCCACGGAGCTTTTGTGTAGCGACACAAAGCATGTAAATCGTCAATGTTTAAATTCGGCAAGTCACCCTGCGTATGTGTGATGTGAATATGGGCCTGTGGCATAAATAGTAATGTCATGCAAGCAAGCCCCTTTGCTCCATAGACTATGGTGCTAAGTGGAATCTTCTGACTGTTATATAATGCTTCTTCTAAATTGTTGACCATCGCATTGAGCAGAAGCTCAGAACACTTTCATGTTCAGCAATAATGAGATCAAAATCCCCGAAGAATTTTTTTTTCTATTGCATTCTAAGCAGAGCGCATTCTATTGAGATTTCCATTTGTTAGACTAGAGGCTATATAAAGCAATAGTTGCTAAGGACTGAATTCGTGCCATGTGTTACTAATTAACAAAGCAAGATTTATCCATAAAGGAACATGAATCATATAGCCTGCATAGGCTTACAGAGAAGAATGAGCTATTTTGGTCTCCATTAGATCCGCACTGATATGCTTGCTTGCTCATATTTTAGCCCTTGCATCTCCACCGTGCTTCAGTTGCGTTTTTTTCCTTTTTTTCTTTCTGTTTTTTTGTCAGTCATCACTTACATGACAGTTTTACCCCACCAGACTGAAGGGACGCGGTACCAAACGCCTTCCTATAAGAAGCAAATCGTCTCTGTGGACTGAGGATGTTAAATGGTCTCTCTGGACCAGCTGTGTCAGAACTATTAGCTTAGTTGCGCTTGGCTGAGAGACGAGTGTTTATCTGACACTCTTTGGCTGTTTAGTCCTATTTTATGGGTTTTGATGTTTCCTGCTCGGAGCTGAGGGCTGCAAAGGTGAACTGGAACGTTTACAAGCCACTGACACATTCTACAAAAAAGTTACACACGCGCACAACTGTGCAGTTTTCTGTGTATTTCAAAATTCATTTTAAATTGGCTCTGAATCTGGAATTCATACTTTCTTCAAAAACACTGTCTCTGTGTTTAGCTGTATGTCTTTCCACGTGTACTTTTTTGCTTATATACATGCCTGAAATGCAAAAAATGCATACAATTAATTTGGAATTTGCAATAGGTGTGTTCATCTCATACTTTCTTCTCTATCTATCTATCTATCTATCTATCTATCTATATCTAACTATCAGTTTGTCGTTTCCCGTGTAATTTGTGTTTATATGCATTCCTAAAATGCATTAAATCCATTTTGAAATCACCATGTGCCAGAAAACACAGTATATATGCTCACTTCGTACTGTCTAGTTGTTTTATCTATCTATCTATCTATCTATCTATCTATCTATCTATCTATCTATCGTTCCATATAGAATTTGTTTATACATATGCCTGAAATTTATAAAATGCAAAAAATACATTTTGAAGTAGCCATGAATCTGGAAGCCCACCATCCATGCTCACTGTCTATCTATCTCTCTGTCTGTCTGTCTGTCTGTCTGTCTGTCTGTCTGTCTGTCTGTTGGTCCACATGTATTTAGTCATATAAATGCTTAAATGAAGTACATGGTCAACTGAAGCAAAACGACAGATGAAAACATGTATCATAATACATGTCTGATTATTTCTTTTGTGAATTGACCACATAAAAAATATGTCTGCATATACCAGAGACCATATGCAAGCAACCTGGGATGACGCTGCATTTACTGTTAACATTCTCTATGATCACTGCATAATTCTCCTTCCGCGGCAAAGCTCTAAGCCATGGATCAAATCCAACACAACAGGATATAAAATATCCCCAGTTGTGAACGTAACATAAGGCGACGCCTCAACATGCATGTGTGCTCGATTGTGTGTGTGTGTATGTGTGTGTGTGTGTGTGTGTGTGTGTGTGTGGTCGGGCCTGGTGTGAGGGAGGCAGGCGAGAAAGCCCAGAACGCTGTGTAAGCGATCCCTTTGTGTTGATTTAGGAAGACGTTTGCTGTATATAACGTTCAAGGCTGATAATATCATTGCCTGGTCAGATAAATAAAGCAGTGGCCAAACCATCGGGTCAGCTATCGATCCCTTCTGCCAGCGGAGAGAAAGGGAATGAGACGACACGGTGGAGGAGGAGGAGAGAGGAGAGGAGAGGAGAGAAGAGGAGGAGAAGCAGGAGGAGGAGGGGTTCTTATTAGCATTCCATACCCATGGACCACCACTGACAACTGAAAGAGATATCTAACTCAACACCATGCATTTTCTCCTCTGCTCTTAGCCATCATTTCAGCCAACACATGTAGGCAGCTTCTTAATGGCAGTCAGTCAGCACATGTTAACAGATCTACACTCCATTTATATTGACAACTCGCGCCATATCATGTTAGACACATCGAGCTGTTTATTCGTAGAAAAAGACTATTTACAGGCAGGCTATGTTTGGGAATTCCTACCAAGAACCAGTGTGTGTCAGTGGGAATAATGAAGTTTGCACATCTTATTGGTTCAGTTTTGCAAAAATAAAAAACTTTACAAACTTGTGAACTTTTGCAGACAAAGTTCTCTCCAGCTAAAATACACTTGTTGATATCATTAATAAACGCATTATTTGGCACTGGAGGTAAATAGCAGTGGATTAATAGGCAGCACTTGCACAGACTGAGTAAATAAATGTGACCATTTTCAAAATATTTTGAGAGATGATTCTTCGCTACACGTGAGAATTCTTTGGTGCTTTGGGAACACACAACTAAATGCGCGCGCAAAATCTTGTCCAACAGTGACAGCTGTTTATCACTTAGTGAGTTCTTTCCAAGTTTTTTTTTCTCCTCCTCCTTCTCCTCCTCCTCCTCCTCCTCCTCCTCCCCACCCCGTCTCTATCTTGCTTTGTTGTTTTAAAATATGCATGTCTCTCCGGAATGCCAGTCACGAGTCCAAACTTTGCGTCCAACCTCCCACATGAAATGATCCCCCCTTAAAGGGGGCTCAATATGTCTCAATCTGCACTGCACTTCACTCAAAGCGTTTGGCTATGAGGGACGGGGGGCTTCCTCGAAAAGCACGCCTGAGACGGAGGAGCACGGCTCGGACGTCCAGCACTCTTCCTTCCCTCCTCAGTCACTCTTCCTGTGCTCTTCCTCACCAAGACGACGGCGACCCTTCATCACGGAGGTCCAGCGAGGGAGGGGGGGAGGAAAAAAAGGAAAGAAGTAAGAAATTTGTTTTCATTTTCTTTCGTCCCCCCCCTCTTTTCAGACGCGCTTGTGAGTGTGGGGC